AATGGAAGGATCAAGGGAGGGTTTTCTGAGGTTGGGGAAAACATGAGAATGTTTGTAAACAGTAGGGAAGGAGCCAGTACACAGAAATATTGAAGATAAGTGATAGAGTGGAGATGATAGAAGGGACAATCAGCTGAAGGAGATAGGATGGAATGTGCAGGTAGATGGGCTTACCTTAGCAAGGAGTTAGGTTATCCTATGAGACTAGAGTGAAGGAGGCAATAGTGACAGAAGGCATCTGAGTGATATAAGATGAGGAGAAGGGGAGAAGAGGGAGTAATCAATGAATGTCCTCAGTTTTTTTCATTGAAATATGAGGCAAGTTTCTCAACTGAGTGAGTGGGGGAGGAGGAGCCATAGGAAGTTTGAAGGTTGAAAAGGTTTGAAAGAGTTGCTGTGGTGAGTGGAATAGTGAGTTGATAAGGAAGGTGTAGGAGGAGTTCCTAGTTAGCAATGAGGGCTCAATTGTGGTTATGTAACGTAAATTCATAGTGGATCCAGTCAGAACAGTTGCATTATTTTCTCTATGTTCATTCAGCAGCTTGTGTGTAGGAGCAAAGGCAAAGGATGTTGGGAGTTATTCAAGGCTGAGGCTCACCAACACATAAGAGGTGATATGATAATAAGGAAAGAGAGTCAAAAGAAGAGGACAATGTAGAGCTGAACTGGTTTACCAAAAAGATAGGGAAAGGAAGAGAGAGTGATTAGTACAGGGCTGATAGCCTGGCTATGCATTTTTATAAATGTCTATTTACATTTTTCTATGCTATTTGATATTGATAATGAATTCCATGATCATTAACAGTGGGTTTCTGGTCTTATGAATTTAGGGGTACAAGAAATCAGAGTCAAGGAGAGAATTTTTCACTTTTTGGTGATTTCCAATTATGATTCAGAATATGCCTGTTAGATTACCTTTGAATACTTTGAGAGTTAACAAAGAGATAAGCCAATAGAGATATATTTGAAAATATCCTCCAAATTGCTAATAGTAAGATAAATTAAAACAACTCTGAGGTTTTATTTCACACCCTACAAATTGGCAGACAAAAAATGGGAACAGTCAATGTTGGAGGGATTGTGGAAAGACAAGTACACTAATATGTTTTTGGTGAAGCTGTGAATTAGTCTAACCAATGGTGACAATATTGATTTCTCCAAACAGGAGAGGGAAATGAGGGCATCCAGACGATACCCTCTACATCTTTAACAGAGGTTATGATTAATTCTAACCAGGACAGTCTCTAAATGATGGATCTTCCTGCCCAGTTTTACTGCCACCATTCAAGAAAATAAAAAGAAAGGGTCCCTCCAAACATTATGCCCTTGGATTCATAACTTTTCCTCTTACTTCTAAAGTACCACTCCCCCACAGTATCTTTTTTAGTATAATATGCGTATAGTCAGATATCTTTAACATAAAAATTACTTTATTTCAGTACAACTGTACACAAGTAAGAAATTTCAAGTATGGTCTCATTATACACCTTAGCTTGTCATAGGTTAAAACACAAAAAGCTTCTGTTGTCTGCACTATCTAGGATGGAAGGAAACAAGCATTTATCAAGCACCTACTATGTGCTAGGCACTGTGGTAAGCATTTTATAAATATTACCTCGTTTGATCCTCATAGCAACCCTAGGAGGTAAGTGCCCATTTTGCAATGGACAAAACTAAGTCAAATAAAGGTTAAGTGACTTGCCCAAAGTCACACAGCTATTGTCTAATTTGATTTGAACTCAGATCTTCCTGCAGCCAGGCCCAGAGCTCTATCCATCGTGCCACTTAGCTGGCCCTACGTCACACTTCTATTCCCAGTCCAATGCTAATTATTTTCCTGTTTCCTTGGTCACTAAGGAAGCAAAGCCTTCGCTGTCTAGGTGGCGGAACCATCCCTCTGCTCTATGTTGAACATATTTTCCTTGTAGTTACCCATACCCTGACTCTTCAGTTTCCCTAGATTTTGTCCCAAAAACTCATTCTTTTCATAGTACACATGCTCCTGGTTGGCACCTAAAGCTGTTCCTTTTTTCAGCCTTTCCTAGTTATGTTTTAAGCCATTTATTTTCTTCTGTTCTAAACTTTCTCATATTTTCTGACTTCCTCTAAAGTAGCCTCTTTCTTCTTTTAGCTGTTTCTTTTTCCTAAATTGTTTCACCTTATTCCCTTGAATAGTGCTCCACATACAGATGTTTTAGCTTCCCATCTTGGGTCCTCACACTCCACTCAGAAAGTTACCACTACCACTTACACTTTAGTTATATTGTTTTTTCTTAATAGGAACTTTTGCATAAACATTATCTACAACTCATTTGTATTTTTATTGTTTTTATCAAATGATATAGTACTTAATACACTTACATTGTCAGGAGCTGGAGTTATGTAGTAGGAATTAATCTAAAATATCTTGACATTTGAGATCCAGAAGGGAACAGATATAACTGTAGAATTAACTTTTAGAAAAAAGATGTTTATAATTGTTAACATAGAAAAGGTTGTCATAATTCATTATAAATAATTGCCTCAAGTTTTATATATATCCATTATTATCAGTACATGCACAGTGTATTTCCATAGATTTTTCCATATTGCCTTTATGATTGGAGATGCACATGCTCTTGTGTTGATTATCTGGCAGCTGGCATGTTTCAGAGAAGTGACAGATATAGCCTGATACCATTTCTTTAGCCATACATGGAAGCTATTTCAACCCTGACCTTTGTTCAGTCACCCTTAACTTCTTTATCAAGTCGAAAGAGATAGATATTTCTCCTCCTTATTTCTGTTCATGTACGAGCAAACTATATTGCAAGTCAATTCTACTGTTAAGAAAAAAAAACAATTTCATAGTATTGTTACAAAAAAAAAGAAATGAGTTCTTTACACATCAAGGGGTCCTACTTCATTATTATAATAAAACAATTTTACTCTTTTAAGCTATTCTAAGGAATCAAATAATGTGCATTGAAGCATAATGATTTTTGTAAAAAGCCTGTTGTGAGCTGGTAAGACTGATTATGCCTGTTTAATTTCAGAAGCAGTTTTCAGCGAAAATTAATTTACTGCAATGAATATGAAAAAAATAATAAAATAAATATTTAACTGTTATTCCTTCTTAAAATATGCTTCCCATGAATTTAAATATAAATTAAGAGAAAAATTTTAATGCCATTTTTAACAATAAACTTAATTGATCCCATTGTACAAAATTAAAAACTGCTATTTTAAAGCCTATATTCTGATAATATTATTAGACAAAACTTGTCCCTGGCAAATCTTTTGCGATACTGTATCGAAGTCTGGTTTTATAATATCAGGGCTGATTTTTTAAAGGTATTGTCAATAACTTTAAACTAGTTTCATATGTATTCAATTTCAGCTGTGTCCAATTCTTTATGACATCATTTGGGGTTTTATTGACAAAGATAGTGCAATGGTTTGCCATTTCCTTCTCTAGCTCATTTTACAGATGAGGAACTGAGGCAAACAGGGTTAAGTGACTTGCCCAAGGTCGCACACCTACTATCTGAGGAATATTTGAATTCAGGAAGATAAGTCTTCCTGACTACAAGCCTGGCACACTATCCACTGTGCCACCTAGGTGCCCTCATGTATTCAGTTGGTGACATATGTAGTAGATCTGACTCGTTAAAGAACATAAGTTCTCTGCCCCCTGATTATTAATATAGTATTAAAATATATTTTAATATAGTAAATATAATGTAGCCAAAATATTGTCAATTGGTATCATTAAAGACATTGAATGACAATTTTTTTTTCCATTTTACATGATTTAAAGTCAGATATTAAATACATTAAAATATGCACAGATAATTTCTGGTTGATAGAAGGTAAACTCTTTGATAGCAAGAACTGTTTTGGGGTTGTTTTGATAGTATTTCCAGGACCTAGAAGATAGTCATAGCACATCAATAAATGCTTATTGATGAATTAAATTGAAAAGCAAGCTAAAAGAAGCCCCTACTGAAGCACACAGTAGTTAAATATCTTGAATTTACTTCCACTATAAATACCTAATTTCCATTGTTTCCATATAGCTAGAAGGGGAGTGACCTAAATGATCACAACCAACTTCTACATTTGAGAGCACCATAGAACAGAGACCCTCTCTTAATAGCAGTGAATACCATAGACTTTATAATAGCGAATTCACCAATATTTGTGTTGATTAAACGCAATAGCTAGTATTTATACAGCACTTTAAGGTTTGCAAAAAGCACTTTACATGTTATCCTTTTGATCTCCACAACAACCCTATGAGGTCGGCTTTATTATAATCCTATTTTTATCGATGAGAAAACTAAGGCTGAGTGAGGGTCACCCAGCTTGTGTCTGAGACAGCCTTTGAACTCTGCTGTTCCTGATTTCAAATCCAACCTTCTATTCACTGCATCACCACAAAAGGTCTTATGAATCTTACAGATAACGATTTATTCAAACCCAATGCCTAGTAGAAAATTCTTTGTGGTACAACATTGACATACTTCCTGGGCCTAAAACCTGTGAAATGGTTCAGATCTGCCCCTGCAGCCACTGAGTGTGCTACTGCCCTTCTAGGTTCGTTTATTCTTTTCCTTCTTTTTTTATTTTTTAAAAAGTAGCTTCCACTTGAAAGTTTTGACTAACTCAAGAATTCAATCTAAAATCTTTCCACATTCTCTCAAGTTGCTGCTCAAGGTCTGAGGTCACCCCAGCCAGGAATTCAGTGAGCTGGCATTCCCATTCTCTCCCCTCCCTCCCCTCCTGCTGCCTCTGATTCCCTTCTTGAGGCGCACTTTGTGGGGGGAGGGGAACCCTTCCCTGAACTTCGCTGAGGTTTTATTTCCCTGAGGTGAATCAGGGGCGGACGGTGGAGACTTTGGTCACGACTCTCCCTCCCCTCCCGCCCCCATCTGCCCTGATTCCTTGGGGCTTCCTCCTCACAGAAATAAATGGTGGCCAAAAGATTCAGTGCTACCCAGCCCGACCTCTCAAACAACTGGAGAGCAGAAATGAGGTGACTAAGAGTGGTTCCCACCAAACCCCTGAAGACCTCAATTTAGGTACGTAGCGAGGCGCGGAAAGCGCCAACACACATGCGCACAGGCGCGCAGGTTGTGGGGGTGGGGGAGGAAGAGGGCTCAAAGTCTCGCGAGGCTCAGGACGCGGGAAGTGGCACGCGGGGCGTATGCTGGGCACGAGCCTCGGAGAAGGCGGGAAGCAATTGCTGCTGCCGCCGCCGCCGCTGCCGCCACTGCCAGTGCCGCCGCCACTGCCACTGCTGCCTTTTCTCCACACTAGCTCCCCCTGCCCCATCTGCCCGGCCCGGAACAGGAGGCCCAAGCTGGCAGGGGTGGGTGCGAACTTACCTCGAAGGAGGCGAAGTTACTGGGGAGGGGACGAGCGAGGGCGGGGTCCTCAGCTTAGGGCCACCCTCCTTAGAGAAGGCCTTTTTCAGTCGGAAGGGAGAGAGGAGCAGGCCCTGGGCGGGTAGCCTTGTCTTTGCCCTCAGTGACTGACGATGACACGACGGGGTGTTTAACAGCAGGACTCTATTCATTTAAATTTATCAATAAATATGACTCCATGGACCCTGGAAAATTTTGTAGGAAGCTATGGGACTCCGTTCACCCATTCATTTGTTAAATGCCTACTGCGTGCAGTGCGCTGTGCTAGCTCTTCCCTGAGAGACAAAGATAAATAAGATTTGGGCCGAGACCCTTGGTATTGACCACAACACACGGACTGAAGCATGCTAAGTTTAAAGAGAAGAAAAGGAGGCACGAGCAGGGAGGGATGGGGGAGGGGGAGCAGAGTTCTGGGGCCTCGGGGTGTGAAAAGAGCAGGAGTTTCGAAGTCTGGGGACCTGGGTTAGAAATCCTCTCCAGCAGCTGATGGCCAGTGTGGGCTCAGAGGCCACTCCTCTCTTGGGGTCTCGGGCTCAGTTAAATGACAAGATAAAGGAAGTCTCCCAGAAGTTTGAGACTACAGGCCTATGTGTCTCCCACCTTTACCCTTCCCCAAGCTGTGAGTAAGACTGCTGATAAGGAGGGGTCCTAATAAAGGAGGACTACTAGGCTGGTCCCTATTGACTTACATGCTATTGTGAGAAGTATACTGCAACAGGTCTGGGAGTAAGAGGACCTGGGTTCAAATAATTAGGGTTAGCTGTGTGGCCTTAGTCAAATCATTTAAACTTCTGGCTCTGAGTTTCCTCATTTTGATTTATGATCCCAAGATTCTTCCATTCTCTCTTGGGGTCCAGATTTCAGGAGATCCTTGATGTTTAATAGAAAAAAAATTTTTAATATGATTAGTTTCCTTTGTAAGACTCTGGGATGAGGTTTGGACTCAGGGTTTTTTACTCCAGAACAGATGATCTTTCCACTGTCATACACTACTTCCTAAAAAGATGAAACTTAATAGAATAAGCATAAATCTACATCTTACAAAATTCAGCTTTACAACTACAAGATAGGGAAGCTATGACTAGATTATGGTTTCTCTGAAAAAGATCCAGGGTTTTTGTTGGGTTTTTTCGTGGATCGTAAATTCACTATGAGTCAATAGTGTGGTCTGGCAGCTTAAAAAAAAAAAAGTTAATATGATCTTAGGCTGCATTTTAAAAGATGTCCAGGACTAGGGAGGTGATAGTACCACTGTACTCTACCCTGGTGAAACCAAATCTGGAGTAGTTAGTTGTGGGAGTCACATTTTAGAAAGTACATTGATAAGCTGAAGGACAACTAGAACAAAGGTTCTTAACCTAGGGATGATAAACTTTTGAAAAGGGGTATTTTGGTAGTTGTCAATATAATTGGCTTCCTTTGTAATCTCATGTATTTTATTTTATGCTTTCAAAAACATTATAAGATATTCTTAGACTTCACCAGATGTTTGACACAAACGGCTAAGAACCTCTGATCCAGAGAAAGGAAGCCAGCATGGTGAAGTGCCTCTCATGTAATAAGAGGATTGGCTGAAAGAAGTCAGGATGTTTATCCTGGAGAAGAAACTATTTGGGGAAAATGATAGCTGTCTTCAAGTTTTTAAAGGGCTATTTTGTAAAAGAAGGATTACACTTTTTCTGCTTGACCCAGAAGGCAGAACCAGAAGTAATGAGTGGGAGGTGCAAAAAGGCAAATTTAGGCTTGCAATCAGGAAAAACATCCTAACTATTAGAGCTATCCAACTTAGCTCTTCCCAGAAATGCAAGGATCTAAGACAACTCCAAAAGACTCACGATGGAAAATGATATCCATATCCAGAGAAAGAATTATTGAATCTGAATGCAGATGGAAGCATACTACTTGCTCTCCTTTTCTTTTGTTTTTTTGTTTTGTTTCTTCTTTCTCTTGGTTTCTCCCATTAGTTCTAATTCTTCTTTACATCATGACTAATGTGAAGATATGCTTAACATGAAAGTATAAGTAGAGCCTATATCAGATTACATGTCATCTTGTAGAGGGAGGAGGAGAGGGAAGGAGAGAAAATTTAAAACTCAAAATCTTATGGAAGTGAATGTTGAAAACTAAAAATAAATTAATTAATTAAAAAAAAACAAGTAGAGCTATCCAAAAGTAGTAGAGGCTATTTCAAGAGGTAGTGGGCTCCCCCCAATTTAAACAAAAGCTAGATGACCAGTTATTGGTTGTTGTAGAGGGAATTCTTGTTCAGTTACAGGTTGGATCAAATGGTCTCCGAGGTTCCTTCTAATTCTAAGATTCTGTGATTTTATGAGACAAGCATCAAAGGTAAATTTTACGAAGACATATTTGAACACGAATCTTGGAAATTTCTGATTGCTTTACAAACTAAGTGCCAGAGCTGGGATTTGTACCAAGGGTCTCTGGCTTCAAACCCAGCACTCATTTCTTCTCCATCACATTGCTTTCCTTCAGTTATGGAGAGTCCTGTGAAAGAGAGTTCCACCACAGGATTTTGGCCTGGTGCTTCATTAAAAAATGAAGGGGAAAAGACTAACTAGTATGTCCACTGAGTTCTTTGGGAACTATCCATGCTAAGAAATAGAAGATGCAAATTGTTCAAATAATAAAAACACAAAAGTGAAATTAGTTGTCTGCTTAAATATTATTTAGTTAAGTAATTGATGCCATCAATCTTATGTTAATCTCAAATTGTAAATAAAATTTACTTTAAAAACATTTAAAATATTTCATAGTTATTACACTATAGCATAGAACTGAGTCAGTATTCTTTGATTAACCTTTTTCTCTATTTCTAGAATGTCTACAAGTAAAGTTACAAACCATTATATATTTTTTGTGGCTATTATACACTTTAGCATATAAGTATATACTTTATGTTCACTGAATCATAAAATCATAAACCTGGAAGGGACTTTGTGAGTTCTAACCCCCACGTTCAAGAAGGTAAATTACTGGGACAGCTAGGTGGTGCAGTGGATAGAGCACCGGCAGTGAAGTCAGGAGGACCTGAGTTCAAATGTGGCCTCAGACCAAACACTTGACCACTTACTAGCTGTGTGACCCCGGGAAAGTCACTTAACTAAACAAAAAACAACAACAACAACAAAAAAAAGACACTTGAGGCTTACTAGCTATGTGACCTTAGGCAAGTCACTTAACCCTGACTGCCTCACCCCTCACCTCAAGAAAAGGTAAACTACTAAGCCCCACAAGACTGATGGTGAGTGGTAGATTTTTTTAAAAAGGAATATAGAATATGCATCTAATGTTTCTACTCCAGAAAATCCAGCAACAGATGCACAAATCTACTTCCAGTTCTATGACCTTATAAAATGATAGGTTTGGAAGGTGCTAGGGATTTCACGGAGTGAAAATAAACAATGCAGTCATTATCAGACCAAGCCTGACCTTGCTCCCAGAAAGATTTCACACAGGGCAAGAAACTTAGAAATACTTACTACCTAGTCGTTTTTCTCTAGCATCAGAAAGCCTATACTGAAGACTGTGTCACCATTTAAATGGTACTCATGCCATAGGGAATTCTCTGGCAAAGAAGCCTACAATGATAATGTTCTCAGAGATCTTATTCATATAGACTTGATGATAAATAAATGGTCCTCCCTGAAAAATCTGTGGTTTAGAAAGTGAAAAAGTAACCACACATGTTAGTTTGGTAAAGCTAATATTTTCACTACAGTTGAACCACAGTAAAATGACTGTATAAAATATAATGAGTATAAAGAGTAACCAAAAACACCCTTTATTTTATTCTTCTCAAAAAATATTTACTGAATACATAGTATTGCAAGGTACCATATGGATGATACAAAGATGGATAAGACATAATTATTTTAATGGAGTTTACAATCTAGATACATAAATTCTTTTTAAATGGCCACGTATTAGTGTACTATCCATCTCTATGTATATCCAAAAGAATGAGGGTCCTATAAATGTGGTTTTGTTGTATTTTTTTAAAAGATTTTATGTTATTTAAATTATAACATTTTTATATTGCTTTAAGTTTCATGAAACATTTTTTCTTAACAAATGGCCCACTGAATTGTCCCTTATCTGAAACCAAATTTTCATGGCACCCCCAAATTGCTAAATTATTGTTTTTGGATAGCAAGAGATCAAATTTTAATATGTAATTATGCTATATAAAAATACAAAGGGGTCTTTTCGTTGTTTTCTTCTTGATTATATTTGTGGTTGAATGAACCTTTTCCAGAGAATGGGTTATATAATCAATAATATAAATAACATTATTAATATTAAAGAATTTTCCTAAATACTTTTTAAACATAAATTTTCTTGATGTATTTAGGTTATATAATTTACATATCCAAATGATGTTTTCTAAAATTATAGATAAAAGAATGGCGAACTCCTTTTCAGCACAGAACATCGTTTCACTTTCAGATCTGCGTCCAAATCTGGCTCATCCTGTAAGTTTCATCATCATACTCCTTTTGTTATTTGCTAATGAAATTTTATATGATGAGATTATGTTACTTCAAAATTATGTAATTGACATGTATGTAGATACACATTGCATTAGTATAATTGTTGGATATAAAGTACCCCTGTTTCTTTGTATATATTTTAGGAAAATGAAAACTAATGCTTCTACAGGGGAGGCAATGTGACCAATATGACTGGTAATTCAGTATTTGAAATTATTAGAAACTTCCTTATATCTTATTAATTGAATGCTGAATTGAGATGTAGTCAGACTCAGCATTATGAAGCCAAAAGGTTTTTTTGTACAGTATATTCTCCAGGTGACTGCAATTATAGACTTAGATTATGTTATTATGATGGATTTAAGGAAAAATCTCAAGTATTCTGTCACCAGAAGCATATTGAGTTGAATTGTTGGATTGAAACATAAATTAATTTCACACTACAGGAATTCTCAATTTTCATTGAGGATATAAATGGTGGAAGAGAAAGAAGGGAGTGAGAGAAGAAAGCTGTCTAGCTTGTTAGGCTGAGCTCACAGCATGTCTACATTGTGATCCCAGGTCTGGTCCTTAGCTTTGCAGGGTCTGAATCTTGATTTTATTAGTTCGCCCAGTGGTGACAAAGCTCTGAGAAATCAATTCATGCTGACTAAACTCACTAGAGAAGGATTTATAAACCAGAATGCCAGTTTATTAATTTATAATGGATGATATATCAGGCAGGATTACTGGTACTGGTCATTTGCACAGGGCATTCCCTTCTAGTGGGTAGATCCACTCAGGAGACTAAAGTTATAGATCTAAAGGCTAATTGGTGACAATAGAATTAGAGCAAAGGCAGTTATTCTTAAATGATATTTCTGTCAAGCCTGATGAATTACCTTTCTCTACTCTAGGGATATTTCTGTCTAGATAATTGTTAGTAGTGGTCATTACCATCAGATCACCTTCTCTCCTGGACAGTGCTCAAGAAATATAGAAATCTAACCCTTTGGTTCTTTTTTTTTTCCTAGACTCCATGCAAATCACTACCCTTCTGTTGTGATGACATTAACTCAAATATTTTACAATTAATTAGATCACAACTTTTCTCACATTAAATACAATTTCATCTACTTTATGAGATTTAAGAGGCATCCTAGTAACTTGCTAGGACTTGGGAATTCCCATAGTCTTATCAGTAACATATTTGCAATAATTTCTCGGAGTCAATTTCTTCACATAGCTAATCTCATTGATTTAATTTTGATTTGTATTAGTATTAATTTTTTATCCTCCTCCCAAATTCTTGAGATGTATTTAATTTAGAACTTGTGCTGACATGTACATGCATTTACACACACACACAAACACACACACATTCATACACATACACCAATAGATGAATTAGATGGATTCGTGGTTTCCTGAAATGGTGTATGTCAATTAAATGTGTATGCATATACGTGTGTGTAAATTGAAGAATCTTAAATGTACAAAGGGAGCTAACTAAAAAAAATTCTGGAGTGAATATATTTGTAAAATAAAGACTCTCTTTATAAAACAAAGACACATACACTCCTATTTGCCTATTTTCTAACTTTGGTTGTCAAGTTTTCTTAATGGAAGGAGTGCCTATAAATAACTTCCATTGTTTGCATTTCAAAGTTTAATCTTGGGGATATAAATTGATTCCTAATTGCCTGACGCAGAAGTCAGAAAGATTTTTCTCCAATATTTCAGCAAGTTGAGTTTCCCCAGTAAAGTTCAGAGGGGTTCCTTGTATTCATATAGAGTTAGAGAAATAGTAACATTTGTCATAAATGCAAAGAGGTAGCCAGCAGTTCGGTTAGGATGTGGAATTCTTTAAAGTTTGAGTGCAACAAATTATTGCCACATGAACAACAGCTGCTAGAACTATTAATATAAGCACAGGTTTATCCTTTGTAAGAAAAAGCTAGTAATCTTGACTTTTTTAAAGTGTTTTAATTTTTTATTCTTTTTAGTAGACACTAAAATGAACAATAAAGTTTTAAAGAAGATATTTAATGACCTACCTAGATTTTAAGAACTAGAGCTTATAACTTTGATTTATCAGCTGCAATATATAGGTTTTGTTACAATCTAATTTATGTTGCTGTCCAGCACGTTTGGATTAAGGAATGAAACAATTTTATGTGAATTGTCAAAAAAAAAAAATCCCATATAAAAGAAAGCTTTGAAGGCCTTAGGAAATTAAATTGCATTATACATGTGCTTTGAATGAATTCAGTTAAGTATCTAAAGCATAGGACAGTTACTGTGCTCCACCTAGTGATTAAAAATAAAGTAGAAACATGGTTAGTGCTATAATGTATTTGTAAGGCAGTTAGCTATCCAACTACTTTGCATTAGTACTTATGCTGTTTAATGTTTATATTGTTCATTTACATGCCACCCTAGAATAAATGCTTTTAAATTATTACTAGTCAAAAATATGTTTGTTATAACCAGTAAAATATAACAAGTCCATGAAATCAGATTTACCATGTACATCTGTGTTTAATATTGGTTCTATAACCTTTTTGTTTTTCAGAGTATAATCGGTATGGTTATTGGGAAAACAGATGTCAAAGGCTTTCCAGACAGAAAAAGTAGAGTTATATTTAACTCTTTACTTTGTTTTTCAAAAGCTGTAACTTTAGTTTGTATGATTACAGCCAAGCATATTTAAATGATTGAATTTGTCATGCATGTTAAACTCCTAAAGGGCAAGAAACATGTTTCTTTGTTTGATAAAGTGCCTAATTAAGAGTCATATGTGTGAAAATACTCAAGAAATGTTATTTGATGATAAAAATTATTTGATATTTCTAGAGAATAATTATTCAAGCTATGTCTATAATATAATACCAAAACAACTAGTTGACTTGGTCAATTCTAATCAATGAACTACTTAATTAAGTGAAAAAAGGAAGAAAATTATTATTTAGGATGGGTAAGGAAAAAATTCATTTGACCACATTTTCCCCCTTTTAACTATTTCTACCATACTCTGTATCTCCTAATCATTATTTTTAACTTTAATAGTTATTCTAAGGATATGCATGAATACATAATAACTTCTAAATATATTATACAAATTTCAAGTTCTTCAGTCTATTTTCTCAAGTACCTTGCAACCTTAGTGATCTATACCATATTCTCTTAGTGATGTAAATTCTATGTCCATATGATTTCAAATAACTACTTTAAATGGAGTTGTCAGTCATTTATTTTGTTTTTGCATACTAAATCAGTCATTCAAATTCCACTAAAAACAATGTTTTGTTTTATGTTACGCTTTGTTTTGACTTTTTTCATCATTCTGACTAAACTAAATTAATGTCTTACTTTTATATAGACATTCTTAAACTGGAATTGGACTTTTAAATAAATGTATTGTCAAATTTTTATGGATGACAGAAAAAATGGCATGTACAAAATGCAAAATTTTAAATATATAAATTTCAGCTTTTCCTACAATTTTTATTTAAATTCTGCAGTATAGGAAGGAATAAGTAGAGCTAAAGACTGTTAAATTCATCAAGAATTTTGGCAGAAAAAGTTCTGCTTTTATTTTTAATCATTTGAGTAACTGTGAATTGTGTTAATCTAATTTATATAATCTATGCTAGTATATTAATGAACACCTTAATTTTTATTTTCAGTTTTTTTCTCCCATTCTTTTTAAAAGATCTATAATGAAGAATTTTTTAAAAATCAACAACACTAATACATCTATACTCAAAAATGTGCATTCTTTGTGCTGTAAATCAGACCCCCAAATTTCACTAATAAGGATAAAGACAAAAGAATTGTTAGAACAGCATAAGGAACCCAGACTGATTCCTAAATGCTTCAAGGCACTCCTACTACTACAGGAACCAGAAGTCATTAAAATATTTACTGACCCCTTGTGGTATTCATCAGGCCATCATTCAGAATCACAAACCCTTTGTTCTAATTCAATACTTTAGAATTATGACTACACAAAGTGAAAGAGAAAATTGAAGTAACTCTCTGAATCATTCAGGTTAAAAAAAAGACAACCACCTACTCCCCAACCTAATGGACAGAAAATTGAGGAAAAGGGGGAAGAGAGGGATGTTTGCCATGAATTCAGAGTTGGCTCTACTCTCCACTTTGCTTTACAAGTCAATAAATTGCAACATATTATTTCACAGGATGAGAACTTATGTATAGATTGGGATCTGCACCAGTGGAGGGAACTCACACAAAATGAAATCCATCACAGTATAAAGAATTTGTAATTGGTATACATTAATTGGGTACTGTATGCTTGGTGTCTGGATTAATTCGCATAATAATAAGAATTAATAAAACCAAGCTTTTACATTTGAAAACTAAAAGCCCTATCTTTTTTTCCTTTAGATATTGGGTCAGAAAGGTACACTTTCAACTTCACCATTCGAGATTCACCAACTTATTTTATAAATGTAACATCCTGGGGAAAGGAAGATTATATTAAATCACTTTCCAAAAGTTTTAGAGTTGGTGAGTGTGGTAAGTTATTTATTTTTCACCTATTGCTATTATAATTCTTTCCCATGACATTAATGTTTGTGGTTTAAATAAACCAGCTTTTCTTCTAAAGACATAAATTGAATTAGTTTGATTGGAAACAAATGATCCAGGTTTATTACGTATCAAGGGAGTATAAGTCAAATAATTAAACTAAAACATGTGAACTGAGAATTAGGATATCCTTATCATAGGACCTCAGAATTGTAAGGGATTTCAGAAATTATCCAAGTGAAATATGTATCTGCTCTACCACATCCCCAACTGCCTGGCAGGTGGTCATCTAGCCTCTGGGTAAACAACTCCCAGGACAGGACACTCACTACCTATAAAAGATAGACCATTGTACTTTAAAGTGACTCTAAGTTATTAAAAAAAACCCTCTCAGTCTCAGTTTCCTCCTCTGCAAAATGGGAATAATAACACCTACCTCTCCGTTGTTTCAAGGATCAAATGAGATAAGGCTTGAGCACTACATAAATGCTAGCTATTATTATTATGAGGAAGTATTCTCCTATATTGAGGCAAAATCTGCTTCCTTGTAGTTTCCATCCATTGGTATTGCCCTCTCTGGACATGCAGAACAATTCTGACCCCACTTCCACACATTTCTTCCCTTCTCAACTATTCCCTCCTTAGCCCTGCCCTAATCTTTTTCACTGAACCTTATGTGATGTCAGGTTTGCTATCAAAATAACTAATTATAGTATCACTTTTTTTTGGTGCATTTCACATTTAAGTATCATGTTTACTGAAACCTCTATCGTGGCCATATTGATTCTTCAGTGCTACCGAACTCATGCTGGAATACAAGAAGTCTTTTTTCTTCTTCTTCTTCTTTTTTTTTTTGCTCAAATACAGAATATTATGGATATTCACAAAGGCTTCCCCCTCCAGCCACAACTACCCCCCCTTAAATAGCTTTACACATGGTAAGAAAGTTTTTAACATTTGTCTTCCTTTGTGACGTGATTTGCTTTGGGCTAATGGAATACAAGTTGTCTGGATGGATTGGCAGATTAGGATGTTTCTTAAGGTAGAGCTAGGGAAATGTAAGGTAGAGCTGTAGGAAAACAGCCACCAGATCTCTAGACCATAACAGAAAGGAAATTTAGAAGGCTAGGAAAAAGAACTTAGGGAAAACTAGAATTCTTAGATCCTCCTGGAAACGGAAAACCGCCTGCAGGATTCTGGGAATTGTAGTTTGGTATCTCCAGCTGTGGTGGTGTAGTGTGTAGTGTTAAGGATGTGAATGCACTTAGCCCCTCAGGTGCCATTGGGAAATAGTATTTTTTTACCAGGCTCTTTGCAATTATTCATCTGATGTAGAGAAATCATGTCCAGGATTCCTTGCTGGGACTGTAGCCTGAGCCTGAAAAGTCCTGGAACTGGCCCCCTAGTAAACATACAGATAACAAGAGTGAGTCCCACATGTGTAGTGAGATGCATTTGTGGTAAAGGTTTGTCGTTGTGTGTCTGGAAGGGAGATGGGATAGATATTTCTAACCTCTTCTCCCCCGACTCTTCTCCAAGGGAGAAATTCATCTCTGCCAGAAGGGGAAGCAGGAGGTTGGGGCCAAAGGCTGCTCTGCTCTCCTCAGGAGAGAGTGGGGGTGAGAGAAAGACTAAAATTATATCTATCTGCTCCCTTAAATATTGTTCATCTAAGGCATATGATTGGATTTCATCTAACTTCTGATCATTTTGACATTATTGTTATCGGAGGAAAGAAGACCCCCAAGCTCTATATCCAAGACTTGACCCATTTCCTACCAAATACCACTTCTACAATTTAGACATATCGCAAATAGCAAAGAAACCTATTCATCCAAATCTTAGTAAAACAGAAATCAGAGAAGATATACATGGGAGAATATATACCAGAAAATATAGAATGAAAGAGTACTCCCATTGGGAGCAAGATAAATCAGCTCAGCTATTAGAGATTGTCCTTGATCTCTCTTAAGGGGAAATTCCCCAAAGTCTCTAGAGCAGCAAGCTGGATAGGGACATGATGAAGACTTCTAGCTCCTCATATGTCTTCCCAGAGTCTTTTTCCTTCAGCAGCCTGAAGCAGGGTTAGCCACTTCCATCTGCTTTCTCAAAGCTGGAAGGCAGAAGAGCCTGGAGCAACTTGCCACTTGAAGAGTCCTGAAGTTTGAAGAGTTTAAAGGAGTGCTGACCTTTAGAGAGCACCAAGGGGTACTGGTGAAGGCTGAGCTGTCTCGTTTATCAACAACTCTACCCAGCGCCTCACCATCACACCGAGCAGGGCATTCATCTCCACCAATAAGGAGAGTCCCATACCAATGGGCTTTGGGATAGAGGTTACATTTCAATTTTAACTGTGGGATAAGATCCCATCTAGAAAAATAATATCTCAAAGCTAGATAGATGATGGTCACCTCTTTGACCTACCCAATTACATTTCCACATAAATTAAGCAGAATCAGAGAGTGAATCCACAGAGAAAAGAAAATCATCCTAGGAAGAGGCACATTTGACCTCAAGGTCTCTTATCAGAACTTCAGATTGTTTTAGTAACCAGAAGTGAATGGGCCAAGGGAGATTAAGAGGTAGTTCCAAGAGTTCTATATTCAGTGGCTAAGACTCGAGATTTATACAAAAGAACAAATTCTGGAGCTGCTGGTGCTAGAGCAATCCTTGACCATCCTGTCCAGGATAGCTAAGATTTGGGTGATGTCTCAACATCCAAAGAACAGTGAGATAGACAATATGTCCCAAATGCTTGAGAAGTTTTCTCTCCAAACTCAGCACAATTTTCCCTAAGATGAGAGCTTAAAAGGATGATGTAATGAGACCTACTTTCCTGAGAGCCAAGCATCAAAAACCAGTGTCATTCAAGAATGTGAACATGAACTTTACTTAGAAGGAATGGAAACAATTGGACCTAGTTCAGAGGGACTTGTACGAGGATGTGCTGCTGAGAAACTATAGGAACCTACTTTTTCTTTGTCAGTTTCTAAAGCAAAGGTGATTTCCCATCTAGAGAAAGAGGAAATGCCAATGGATCCAAGAAAGAGAAGCCCCAAGAAGCACAAGTTCAGATTGGAAAATTGTACCTGAAACCAAGGTTTCAGCTCCACAGTTGAGCATTTCTATGGAGAAGTCATTCCTAGGAAGATTTATTTGATTTTGGCCCCAGGACTCCAAATTGAGAGAAACCTAGGAATATAATATCAGGTCAAAAACACAGCAGAGCAACCAGGAGACATATTTTAGGCAAATAAAAATTGCTAAAAACAAACAAACAAACAAAAAAACACCTCCTAATAAAAAGAAAGGCCACATACTTAATATCTATAACAAACTTTAGTCCAGAAGAATTCCTTATGTACACAAAAGAGAATTTGTAGAAGAAATTGTATCAATAATTGTGATACACTTGAAGTGTCAGATAATAATTAGATATAATTAAGCATAATAAAATCTCCTTAGGGAAATCCTTTAAGTATAATGAATCTGGAAAAGTTTAGTTACCATTCAGATTTCATTCATTATCAGAGAACACATTGGAGAAAAATCTCTATATATGAAATGAATATGGGAAAGCCTTCAATGACATCACACTTCTCACTCTTCATTAGAGAATTCGTATAGGAGAGAACCCTTATGAGTGCAATGAATGTGAGAAGGCTTTCAGTAGGGGCACAACTTACCAGCATCAAAGAATTCATACTACAGAGAAGCCACATAAATGTAATAAATGTAGAATAATTTTCAATAATTAGCTAATCCCTTGTGCAACATCAGAGAATTCATCCTGAGGAGAAACCTCATAAATGTAATGAATGTGGGAAAGTTTTCAGACAAGATGGACTCCATTCCCAACATCAGATAATTCATACTGCAGGGAAACTCTGTAAATGTAAATATGTAAAATAAACAAACAAGCAAAAAACCTTCAACACCAATTCTTCCCTTACTAAGCATCACAAGATCCATACTGGAGAGAAACTTTATGAGTGTGATAAATCTGGGAGAGTTTCCTGTGATAGTTCATCACTTACCAGAAGAAATTTTTAGCTATAAATCCTATATATATATTGAATGTGGAAGAATCTCCAGCAGGAGTGTATATTTTATTGAATATCTACAAATTCGTACTGGAGAAAAAACCCATAATACAATGAATGTGGGAAAGCATTCAACCAGAGCTCATCCTTTAATAATCATAGATGAATTCTTATAGGGACAAGACACTATAAATGTAATGAATGTGAGAAAGTCTTTGGATGTAGCCCTCATCAGTCCTCATCAAACATCAAAGACTTCACGTTGAAAAGTAACTGGAGGATATCAGAAAAGCTCTGCCTTATTCTTAACTGTTAGAGAATCAAGTTTAACATGGGCTACAAGAATAAAGCCATCCTTTCTCTCTTGTCACTTCTTTAATGTTTCACCCCTAGTCCTATCACTATCCCTCACAATAATCTATTAAATAACCACTTAAGACTAAAGCTTAAATATATATATGTAAGTATACATCTATGTATGGGCAGTTAGGTGGTACAGTGGATAGAGTGCCAGGCATGGAATCAGGAAGACCTGAGTTCAAATCTGAACTCAGACACTAACTACCTGTGTGACTCTGGGCAAGTCACTTCACTTCTGTCTGCCTCGGTTTCCCCATCTGTAACGGTGGTTAGAGTGTACTCCCAGGGGCTGGGGAAAACCTTCGTTACTTTTGTTCTTCCTATAACTTCTCAGTTAATATCCCTTTATAAAAGCTAAAAGGGGGCAGCTAAGTGGTAGAGTGGGTAGAGTGCTGGGTCTGGAGTCAGCAAGACTCCAGCAAGACTTCCTGAGTTCAAATTTGATCTCAGACACTTACTAGCTGTGTGACCCTGGCAAGTCACTTAACCTGTTTGACTCAGTTTCCTCATCTGTAAAATGATCTGGGAAAAAAAAATGAGCTGGAGAAGGAAATGGCAAACCACTCCACTATCTTTGCCAAGAAAACCACAAATGGGGTCACAAAGAGTCAGACATGACTGAAACAACTGAACAACAATAACAAATATGTATATATACACTAATAATACACAAAAATAGGGAGTGGGAAATTGAGTAAAATTTACAAGAATGGTAGTTTTCTTGTGGAGAAGTGGAAAGAAACTGAAGGAGTAAGAGGTAATTTTGTAGCACTTTGGGGAAAGGCAGAGTTTGGTGGGATAATACAGGAGGAAAGCTTTGGATTATCCTTAGCCACTCCCTCTTTTGGAGGGAGGAGTAGTCACCAAGCTCTTTCTCCTCCATCAGGTTACTGCCTTCTCTTGGCTTTCAAAAATCCAGTAGAAGTATGTACATACATCTGTTACCTGGGAGCTCTTGGTTCCAAAGAAAAGCGTAAGATTGTAGATTTAGAGCTAGAAGTAACTTTAGAGGTCAAGTCCAATCTCTTTATTTTATTGATGTAGGTCCAGAGTTTAAATGATCTGCTTTGGTCAAGTAGATAAGAAACATCTGAGGAAGGTTTTCCTGACTCTTAAGTCTAGCACTCTATTTACTGTACTACCTAGCCACTCCAGAAATGTTCTTACTATTTCTTGCTATTCTATTTCTTGCCCAAGGCCATGCCTTAATGATGGTTATTGGGTTGTGATTAATTTAAGTAGTCTTGACCCTAGAGCCCATAGGCTCATGGATTTAGTACAACTTCTTCATTTAACAGATGAGATTAAATGATTTTGTCCAAAGTGACATAAGTCTGTTTCCTCCAGTCTACTAACTAAAGTGAAAACCAAATGGCAAAACTGACTAGTGCCAGAGAGAAGCCCATCTTTACTCTAGCCCAACCTTTAATGGGTCCTACTGGAACCCCATGTAATTTGACCCTAAATAACTAGGGTAAGATCAATGGAGCTGGGTCATCAAGAGTACCAGGTAGCCCCAAGGGCCTAGGAGGCACTATGTGCCTCTTAATGGTTAAATGGGGAACTCAAGGGAGATAACTGCTAACATCAAGACTATTATTGCTACTCTTAGATCCTATCTTTGTGTTCTTAGAGGGCTATTTTCTCTTCTACTCAGTAAACTCCATGAACACAGGTACTGTGTCTTATCTAAATTTTGTACTTCATCTAGCACTTAGCACAGTTTTCTGCATATAATAGGTATTTAATAAATTCTTGTTGCATGAATGTTTGTTGAATATAGAACTCAGTTTAGGCTCAGTTCAGCTTTCCTCTTTCTCTCCTCAGTTACACTGTAAAGAAAATACAGTTGTTATGGATGACTGTTAATTGAATGAGAACCAAACAAAGTATTTGAAGTCATACAGGATTGTTGTAGGGGATTTAATGTTCAGTCCTTGAAGTAATATTTCTGTTGGTCCTCAATTTGGGTGTGGACATAAAAAAATGCTACATGGGTGAAATCATTGATCCCAACAGCCTACGCTCTGTCTCTGACAGTGACAAGAGAACATAACAGTTGTCATCCATTATGTTATCTTCAGAAGGTTTGAAATAATTTTAACATAGTCCCATTTCCAGTTCCACTTCCAATCATGTGGCTTTAATTTTGTTAGCCTCAGTGTCCTGATCTGTGAAATAAGAATAGTAATTTCTATTCTGCCAACAATAACAATGATAGTATCTTATGGTTTACAAAGTCATTTACATGTTGTCTTATTTAATCTTTACAACAGCCCCATGAGCTAGATAGTGCAGGTGTTATCTACACTTTACTGAAGGGGAAACTGAAGTTGAATGTTAAGTAACTAGTTGCCAGCTAGAACCAGAACATAGGTTTTCCCTCACAAAGTTGTTATAATGATCAGATAAGTTGATATATGTGTAACTACTCGTAAATGGTAAAGCACTATGAACATATAAAGTACTTTTTTTGTTGTTCCTCTTCTTTATCTGTGATTTAATCAGTATGGGAAACTCCTGTGCAAGCTGCTTCTGCCAATGCAGGTCATCAGCTGTCTAAGGCACTGAGAAGTTGTGACTGGCCCCTGGTTATACAACTAATATGTATCAGAGGTCAGGGCTTGAACCCAAGTCTTCCTGACTCCAAGGCCAGCCCTTCATTCACTATAGCACACTGCTTCTCAGAGTATTAGTTTTGTTATTATCATAAAGACTCCCATGCTTTTTAATGGTATTTGCTATAAGATTATATCTGTGCTACAAATTTTGATTGCATAATAATATAAAATAATTTTGTAAAAAAAAACATAACCGTCATGATGTACTTAATTACATTAATTTTAAGTATAAAGGTACATGTTTGTGCAGTTTGGGGAATATAGTGTTTCAAACTTGCTATGCTGTAGGTATCCATTCTTTATCATTATAAGCCACTTCTTATTGTTTCTGACTTTTACTTTGTTAGGATTATTATCATTTGAAATTATATCATACTTTTCTCTCTGTTTTAGTGATAATTGACAATCCATTAGTGCAGACAAAGGAAATAGAAAAAGAAGAAAAATTCAATCCTACAACTCCAAGGTAAATTCATGACAAAGAACTACAACCTATTTGGTATAATTAGCATGACTAATATTGTTTAAGTATCAAATTAATGCCACAAAGTGGTACACTTCATTTTGAAAACTATAAGATTAATCCTACAACATATAACTTCTCATTGTTTTTAAGTATGCAATGATTGGTATTGCATTATGAAGAGAAAATGTAGCATTTATCCTCAGACAGTTGATTCTGATTCTTAGCTTTTCATATTTTGGTAATGACAGTAATATGCAGGAAAAATATGTCTTAAAAATTCCTCTCCTCAAAGCTTCCTTATGAAGTTCAGTTCTCCTTTATCTTTTTTTTTTTGGGAGAAGTTAATATTAAGGAAGGATTTTTTTTTCTTTTTCTTATGAGGCAATCAGGGTTAAGTGACTTGCCCTGGGTCACACAGCTAGTAAGTGTCAAGTGTCTGAGGCCATATTTGAACTCAGGTCCTCCTGACTCCCAAGGCCAGAGTTCTATCTACTGTACCATCTAACTGCCACTTAAGAAGGGATTTTGAAGAGAAAAGGGAACAATCTTGTTTCAAGAGTAGTGGGTTGCAATAATCCAATTGCAAGGGCTGGCATATGGATCGCATTAATGCTGCCAACCATTGTGCTTTAGTTAGGATGGTTCTATTGAAATGTTTTGTCTTTAAATTATTTAGACCTCAAAGAGGATAGATATTAAACGTCCTGTTTTTACAATCTCAAATATTTACCTTTATTCATTATTTCCCTTTATAAATATTGCTTTTATATTATCAACTCAAAATCAAATAAACATTTATTAAGCACCTATTATGTGCAGAGTACTTTGCCAGGCAGTAAGATGGGGGTAGGGAGGGACAAAGTTTAGTTACAATATAGTTTTTGCCTTCAGGGAACTTATTGTAGTACAGTATAGAATAAGACACCACCATAGGTAACTAGGGGCAGCTAGGGAGTACAGTGTGTACCTAGAATCAGCAAGACATCTTTGTGAGTTCAGATCTGGCCTCAGACACGTACTAGCTGTGTGATCCTGGTCAAATCACTTAACCTTATTTACCTCAGTTTTCTCATCTGTAAAATGAGCTGGAGAAGGAAATAGCAAACCACTCCAGTATCTTTGCCAAAAAAACCCAAATGGGGTCACAAAGAGTCTGACACAACTAAACAACAACAACAGCATAGGTAACTATATTGCACAACATTATAGGACCAGTATCTTAGATAGTTAACAAAAGCATGAGGTCCAAAAGGTCTGAATTGTCACAGTAATCCTCCTAAAGCACATCACACACACCCTGTCCCCTTACTAATAAATTTCAGCGCTCCTTATCATCTCCAGAATCAAATATAAAATGCTGTTTGGCATTCAAAGCTTTTCATAACCTATTCCCCCTCCCATCCCTCTTACCTTTCTAGTCTTTCACCTACACCAACCCAGGTACTCTGAAATCCAGTGACATTTCCTCCTGGTTGTTCCTCAAACAAGACACTCCATCTCCTAACTCTGGGAATTTTCCCTGGCTATCTCTCATCCCTAGAATGTTGTCCTTCCTCATCTCTACCTCCTAGCTTTCTGGGCTTCCTTCAAGTCCCAACTAAGATCCCACTTTCTACTGGAAGCCTTTCCCAATCCTTCATAAGTCTAGTACCTTCCCTCTGTTTATTATTTCCTATTTATCCTATATTTGGCTTTTTTTAGTTGTCTGCATGTTGTCTCCCCCAATAGCCTGTGAACTCCTGGAGGACTGGCATTATCTTTTGTCTTTCTTTGTATTTCCAGCACTTAGTACAGTGCCTGACACATAATAGGTGGTTACTAAATGTCTACTGACTAACTGATTGACTGACTGGAAAAATGTTGCAATCAACAAGAGGTATTGGTGGGTGGCAGAATACTGTAGTGGAAAGAGCTCTGGCTCTGAGGTCAAAGGATCTGAATTTGAGTTCTGGATCTTCTACTTATTACCTATATAACTGGTAAGTTCAAGGTCACTTAACCTCTCTCTCTGGGTCCCAGTTTCTTCATATGTAAATTAAGGACATTGTACTAGATTATTTTTAAGGTCTCTTTCAGTTCTAATTCCTATGGTCCTGTCTTGCTTTGGAAAGCTTCTTGGAGAAGGTGACACTTAAGTTGTTCTAAAGGATGGGTAGGAGATGTTCAATAGATGAAAGCGAGGGGAGTTTTGCAGGCAAAGATATAGAGGATGAATGACATGCACAACATTTCATCTGTTCAAATCATTTAATCTGTTCTGCTTATACCTGTGTGTATGTGAGCCAGTGCATCATACATATTTTTATGTCCATGTGAACTGCACCTTGATAAAAAGCAACAGGAAGAAAAGCAACAAGAAGAAAAATAAAGATAAAGATTCAAAAAGTACAAATACAGCACCCAAGAAATGGAAGAGGCAAATATAATGACAGAGACAATGTGGTGTAGTAGAGAGAATGCTAGATTTGGTGTCAGAGGGTCAGGGTTCAATTCCCAGCTTGCTATGTACTTGAGCAGGTAATTTTACTTTTTGGTCCTCGGTTTCCTCATTAATAAAATGAAAGGGCTGGACTTTTTAAACCCTTCCAGTTCTAAATCTGATTTTATGATGGATTGCCCATGATTAAAATAAAGAGAGTCCAGTAAGGACTACTAAGGACTACTACTAACCTAATCTGAGATGACCAGCTTAATAAACTGGCAACATTGGCAGCTAGTTGGTTCAGTGGATAGAGCACTGGGCTTGAAATCAGGAAAACTTGTCTTCATGAGTTCAAATCTGGCCTCAGATACTTACTAGTTGTGTGACCCTGGGCAAGTCACTTAACCCTGTTTGCCTCAGTTTTCCCATTTGTAAAATGGGCTGGAGAAGGAAATGGCAAACCACTCCAATACGTTTGTCAAGAAAACCACAAAATGGGGTTGCAAGGAGTCAGACATGACTGAAACAACTGAAAAAAGAACAAACTTATAGATACATCAAGTGAGAAAATATGAAATAATAATAATTGGACCAGGAAGAATAAGAAGTAGGTTCATGAAAACCCTTGGGGAACACGAAACTAGATATGGGCAAAGACAGTGTTGAACTTTTAGAGCAAGAATTAAAAATGTTAACCTAATAAAAAACCACAGCTTCTAAATAGTAGATAAAAATCTTGTTGTATGACTTTAGATAAATCCCTTAACATCTCCAGGCCTGATTTTATTTATCCATAAAATGAGATCAATCTAGATGACTTCAAATCTAACAACAGATAAAAAAACCCCAACTCTCAAATAGTCAATAGCCTACAAAATATAGTTTAGCTTTTAAAACCACTATCACCTGTGTCACCTCATTTTTATCCTTAATAGCAGCCCCCTAAGGAGATAGGACAAGTGGTATTATCTGCATTAGACTGATGAGGAAACTATGGCACAGGGATTTGTAAGGTTACGTTACTTAGTGGCAGGGATGGGCCTAGGATCCAAATTTGATTCTTATTCATACTCTTTCAATGAACCATGCTGCTTCTTAGTTATAATGTATAGCTTATATTTTCAGTAGGTATTTTTTGAATCCTGAAATGATGAATATGTTTAAAAAATTTTAATTACATGATAAGAACAAACCAAGTTTCTCCATTATGATTTAATTAATTGGTCAATTTAGCTAATAACTCAATTCATTGAAAAAATCATTCAATTTTTTTTTACATTGGTTAAGCAAAACAGATTGGTTAACTAAGTTTTCATTTTAAATTCTTTTGTGTTGGTGTTGTGTAGGCATAGCCTATGAGTAATAATATACAACAGTTTATTTAAAATACCCACAATGCAGATTGAGTCATATATCTTTCAGATTTGGCCAATGTGAGAATTTGTTGTACTTAACTGTACATCTTTGTTACAAGGGTTGTGTTTTTCTTTCTTTTTTCACTGGAGATGAGTAGGAGGGAGATGAGATGGATTTTTGTTCATTAAAAAAATTAAATTAAATTTTAAAAAATATATTCACATATTGACTTTTATCATGGGACATCTAACACTACAACTGTCTCTAAGCTGGCCTCCTCAGTCCCAGTTTCTCGCCACTGCACTCCGTCCTTCAAACCTGATGCCATATGAATCCTTCTGAAACACTGTTTTCATCACTTGTTTGTTTCAGAACTTTGATAAACTTTCAGTAAGGTGATAGACTAGGGTGATTTCTAAAGTCCTTTTTTAGCTCTAACATTCTTTGATTAATTGACTGATTAATGTGCAAAAAATTTTTTGTGACAAGAAGACCTGGGATTCACAGGCTTTAACAATCTTCCTTCCAACCTTCCTTTTCAACTTTGTCTCCAGCATTCTAGCCTAAAGGATTATTGAACTGAACTGCAAATACCTAAACATATTCCCCTTGCATCTTTTCTCACATTATTTCCCCTAGATGGAATTTCTTAACCTCCATTTTATCTATCTATCTTCAAGGTAAAATTCAATTTCTACTTCCTTTATTAAAGACCCATAGGGATCTCCCCCTCCTCTAAATTTCTATATCATTTATTTTCTGTACCATTCATTTGACATTTAATTATATGCTGCCTTGTGACATACTGTCATGTGTCATTTTTTAACTTTTTGCTTGTGCATCTCCATAAATAAACTTCTTAGCTCTTGTATTATACTTTTTATTTTTTAAAAATTTAATAGTATTTTATTTTTTCTGATTACATGTAAAGGCAATTTTCAACATTCATTTTTTGAAAGATTTTGAGTTTCAAACTCTTCTCTGTCCCTCCTTCTCCTCCCCCCTTTCCAAAACAGCAAGCAGTCTGATACAGGTTATACATGTGCAATCATGTAAAACATATTTCCACATCAGTCATGTTGTGAAAGAAGAAACAGAAGAAAAGGGAAAAAAAAACCATGAAAAAAAAAACAAAATAAAGTGAAAATAGTATGCTTCAATCTGCATTTAGACTCCATCAGTTCTTTCTTTGGATGAGTATAGCATTTTCCATCATGTGTCTTTTGATATTGTCTTGGTGTATTATACTTTTTTAAAAAAGATTCCTGATAATGCCTAGCACTGAGCTGGGCAGATAGTATACACTCAATGAATATTTTATGTTTTAATGTTTAGCCAAAAATTAAATAGCACTATTGTTCAGTGTTCCCAATTTTTTTTTAAAAAGTCAAGTATTTATTAACATGTCATAAATTTAAATGCCCAAAAGTTAACTAAATTATTAAATGTTAAACTAACTTCAAAATCTTTCTATGCAAAATAAATTGCTAATAACTCATTTGATATGTGTGTGTGTGTGTGTATTTTTGCATTCTAGTTCCTATAAACTGTTGCTCAGTGAGAATCATTCTGTGGTCAGAGTTTGCTCCAGCTATCAAGTGGACATTAAGTTACTTTCCTTGTTGCATTTACCTATAAAAGATTCTCAGGATTACTATTCGCTAGGTGATATTATTGCAAATGGTCAGACACTTGATGGAAGAATTATCAATGTGCTTGCAATCGTAAGATCGGTAAGTTCAAAAAACCAGAGTAAGTAAAATCTATTTAATCTGGAATCTCAATGACTCAATTTGTTTTTTCTAATATATGTCAATTCTGTCTGTTCTTAGTCTTATTTTATACTTTCATCAGTAGTCACTTGAATTGATTTAGATAAAGGGTAAAAATTTCCACTTATGGAAAAAATTTTGTATTTTATTTGTAAATAAATAGCAAAATAAATTACACATGAATACCAAGTGAAGTATAGTAATACATATAATCGTTATGTGCTTAAATATATGAGGTTTTTATAGGTTTCATTTGAACATGCATCCAAAGTAGTCACTGACACTTAAATAATAGATTTGTCCTTTAAAGAAATATAAGCGTATAAAAAAAGGAAATTGGTTACACACTATGACATACTTATTTCCAGAATCACTCCAGAATACATGGTAGAGTGGTAATAACACTGCTTATTGGCTTGCAGTGGGCTAACAATTCAGTGTTATTTTACTTTGGCCAACATTTTATTGTAAACTATTGAAACATTATAGAAATCCATGATCTTCCAGATGTGATCCTCTCCTACAGTGTATCAGAATTAGTCAGCCTTTTGCTAAAAATTGTTGTCTTAAGTTCTGATAACCACAACTTAAGGAGGTCATGAAGAAATTTAAAACTATATTTAGAGAAAGCCACAAAAATGGAAAAATTTCAAAACAAAGCCCATGAAAAAGAGTCAAAGGAACAAGAGTGAGAATAACTTAATGATGATTTTTAAGTATAATGTAATCCTCATCATCTCTTTTTTACAGGTAAGGACATTGAGGTTTAGAGACATTAAGAGTTGCCCAAAGTCACATTGCTAATAAGTAGCAGAGGCAATACTAGATCCCAAGTCTCCTGTTTTCTAGTCCAGTGCTCTTTCATAATTCACTGAATGATTCCAAATCTAGGAAGCTTTACCTAGTGATTGTATTCATAGAAACTTTACTCTACCTGTTGAACGTAGATATTTTGTTCTTGTTGAAAATGACAGTCTGACAATTATATAGTATTTTCTGCTGTCAGTTGCTCTACATAAAGTTGGAATTGCTTATATGCTAGAAGCAGTATAAATCAACAAACACATTAAGCAGTTCATTATATTATGGTTAGTCTGCTACAAAATCCCACCTTTTAAAGACTTTATGGTTTGACAGGCAGGAAACAATAAAAATAAATAATTCCAATGAGTAATTAAAAAAAGGTTCCTTTTAAGAGACTACTTTGGATGCATAGGGAACACAATGACCAACTTAGATTTTTAAGACATTTGTAGATATGAGACAGGGCAAGTAATAGAGGAAGAATACAAATGAGTGGCAGAATAGTGTCAAAAGCTCTAAATCTTAGGATGAGCTGAAACTTGCAAGGAAAACATATTTGGAGCATCTTTTCATATGGCTGTTGATTTTCTTCTTTTGAGGATTGCTCATATCTTTTGACCACTTACCTATTAGGAAATGGCTTTTATTCTCATTATATATTTGGACCAATTTCTTTTATATCTTGTATATCAGACCTTTGTCAGTGAAGTTTGCTACAAAGATTTTTCTGAGTTAACTTTACCTTCTAATTTTAACTGCATTGATTTTGCTCATACCAAATCTTTTTGATTATATGTACTCACAATTATCCATTTTATCTAATGTTATGATCTTCTAATGCTTGGACTTATCTGATCAAAAACTGTTACCCTATCCATAACTGTGAAAGGTATCTCCTTTCCAGTTCCTCTAATTTGTTCATTTTTAATAAGGTGAATTTTTTAATAAGGTGAAAATAAGGTTCATTTTTAATAAGGTGAAAATTGATAGGGCTAAGTATAAAATCCTATACTTATACAGTTGTGTTTTTTCATTTAAAATTTTAATTTTTTTGTACTTCTGAATTTGACAATCATAAACAAACATGAGTATTTCCAGATACACAAAACAAAGAGGAATATACATGAGACTGTGAATTGCTAGTATGTACAACAATTTAAAAAAATAATATAGTAAATTCAACATGTGAGTTTCAAAGCTTACTACTACTATCTGATGGAGAGATGGAAGACTCATGGGGCAGACTTAGATCTACATTTTCAAACATAGCCAATATACAGATTTGTTTTCCTGGACTATGCTTATTTGTTACAAAGAACACTTGTTTTTAATTTGGTGGGGAGGGACTTATGGGGAGGAGGGGTACTAGTGATAGTGGTGCCAAAAAAATAATAATTGTAGCATTTTTTTTTTAAAGCACAGAAGAGAACAGGATGTTCAGGGGACAAATAAGCAATACAACTTTGAAACTAACATGTTAAATTTTGAGTACATAAAGTTGAAAAGCTTTTGCACACACAAAATCAGTGCAGTTATAATTAGATGGGAAACAGTTGAGTAGGGGGAAAAAATCTCAACTTTGAAAGACTTGAGAACTTTACCAATGCAATGATCAACCACACAACTCTGGGGACATTTTCATCTTTTCTTACCAGGGGTCAGTGCATTCCCCCTTGATATGAGGATCTGGGTACAGTTTTGTGGTAAAACACTTGTGACACATTTGGTCTTAATTCACCAGAAGTTCTCGGGTCTCCTGAAATGATGCCTTAAGACTGTTACTACAAGATAGCAGTCACTGTATTAACTATATGGCAAGAGAGTGCAATACCTATGTTGTCCACTAGATAGTGTCCTAGTCCACCACCAGTATAGTGGCATCCTCAGTTTCTCTCTGGTTCATGAATGGGAGCTTCGCTAAAAAGTTATCCTAATGGCCACCAGATGGCAGTCAACCTGCAAATGCTACTCCTAACCCCCACCACAAGCCCAAGTTTTGATTGTGGCTCTGAACCATTTGGAAAAATTCCTGCTGAACAAGTCTGAAATAAATCTGGGGGATATAACGGAACCTTGTTCAAAATATTAAGCTACTAAATCCACGGGCCATAAGTAGCTCATGTACTCCCTACCTTATCTGGGCTCTTTCTCTTTGGTTGTAGTTAGTTACCTGCATTCACAGGGCTCAGATACTTAAAAGTTATGATCTTGTAGTTTATTGTGCATAGAGTGGGGTGGAAAGGAACTCGATCAAGTGCTCCTGTGGAAACATTTGCATGTAGCCATCTTCCAAACCAATTTTGGTTACCCTCCCAGATAAGCAAGTATGTCTGAGGGGACTCTTGACCACACATTAATGTAAAAGGAATTAAGAAAGAGGATGTCTGTACCTCATTTTTGGACCATGGAATAGAAACAAGGGAAAGCAGGGAATACTGTGAAGGAAATCAGACTCCTTCTTTGGTGCACCAGCACAATAGGATCCACAATAGCTGATGGTCTCAGCAATCAGGCTATTCATTGCTTGTGGCTCCTGGTACCCATCTTTAGATGTTGTATCTTCAGGGTAAAATATTAATTGTAGTTTCTTCACCTCTCCATGTGGTCCTGGTCACTGGCCCTTACACCCATCACTCACATGGCAGCCTGAAAGTCCAAATCTAAAGTAGAAGAAAGGAAGCTGGACCAGGATGCTGAAGGATATCCTTTTCTCCTACTGTTGGACTTTTTCTCTTAATAATCAGGAATTCGCTGGAATTCTGGTTAAGAGGGGAGAGGTAGTTACTTACCCTCACATATGCCAGGAATATTCTCTGCCAATATTTCTCTCAGTCATCATCCCATTTCCTAGGTAAACAATTCAAAGAGGTAAGAGAGTGAGCAGGGGTGTGCTGGTAAATGTTTAACAACTGGCTTTCAAAAAAATGTACATAGGACACATTTTTAAGTTTAATCTATATTTTCAACATTTTCTCCATCACTTTAAGTTTAGACCAGCAAAGCAATAAATCAAGGCCTGACCCATAGCATTTGCCAATTTCTAGGTATAGATGCTCATACTGAAAATTTTACAATTAACTCTAATAAGCCAGTTTGAACTGGTTCTAGCACATGCTTGGGCACAAATTACATACAGTAGGGTCTCTCACAATTTCTCTGGTTCATACTCCCACTGAATTGAACTCTAGGAATGTCAATATCTGACTCATGATTCTTTTTTTTTCCTTTTTATTCTGACCTTAATAGAAATAAATAAAATTACCTTTTCCATAATCGTTGTAGTACAGGAGAAGATTATTATACACAAAACTGCAAATCTCTATTATGTAGAGCTTGTTTTACTCTAAAATACATAATAAATTCAATATGGAATTTTCAGTACTACCCTACTTGTCAATGATTCTTTCTGATCTTTCTTCTATTCTCTTTCTTTTTGGGGGGAGAGGGAAGTAGATGGGTGGGAAGAAACCCTATCTTAAGCTTTTTTTTTCCTCCTACTCCACCAACCTCCCAGATTGAAAAAAGAAAAACAAAACCCTTGTAATAAGTATGGATAGTCAAGCAAAAACAAATTCCCACATTAGCCATATCCAAAAACATTTATTAGTCTGCATGTCAAGTCCATCACCTCTCTATCAGAATGTGTATAACATGCTCTATCATCAATCCTCTGCAATTGTGGTCAGTCAATTAACTAATCAGATTTTCTTAATTTTTTCAAAATTGTTTGCCTTTACAATGTTGTTGTTATTGCATGAATTATTGTCCTGGTTATGCATACTTCTCTTTGCTTCAATTCCTACAAGTATCTCTGAAACCTCCCTTTCATCATTTCTTTTGGCTCAATAGTATTCCATTAAAGTCATATAACATGTTCAACCATTTTCCAATTTATGGGTACTTCCTTAATTTGAAGTTCTTTGCCACTTCAAACATAGTTTTGTATGTGTATGTCCTTTTCCTCTTTCTTTGATAGCTTAAGACCACAGGCCTAGTAATAGTATCACTGAGTCAAAGGGTATCCACAGTTTAGTGATTTTAGGGGCATAATTCCAAATTGTTTTCCAGAATGGAAACTAGATCATTTAACTGGATCAATTCATAGCTCCACCAACAGTGCATGAATATGCCTGTTTTCCCATGACTTCTTCAGCATT